AAACCCTTAAGCCCCCCTAAACCCTAAGCCCTTAACCCTAAACACTAAGCCCCTAAGACCCTAAACCCCTAAAGCCCTAAACCCTAAACCCCTAACACCCTAACACCCTAAAACCCTAAAGCCCTAAAACCCTAAACCCGACGCCCTAAGCCCCCTAAGCCCCCCGGCCTCGAGGCCAAAGAGGCTGCCTGCGCTTGGCAGTGCAGTTGCCAAGTAGGAGCTCCCAACAAAAAACCCTTACACCCCCAAGCCCCTCAACGGTTTAGGGTTTAGGGTTTAGGGCTTAGGGCCTAAATCCCTAAACCCTTAAATCCTTGAACCCCTACACAGCTCAACCCCTAAACCCCTCAACCCTTAAACCCTTAAATCCCTAAACCCCCAAGCATGAAATCCGGCACCCGAGAGATTCACAGGTTCTATCGAATGGGACAGACCGGTGAGCTTTCTAGGCTCGGATACCCTCCTTCTGTCTTGAAGTTGGGGTTTGGGGTTTAGGGTTTAGGGTTTCGGGTTTAGGGTTTAGGGGTTTAGGGTGTAGGGTTTACGTGTGGCTTAGTCCTCCAATACCCAACCTCTAGACTTTCTGGGTTCTTACTATTTAGTAGCAATCTGAAAGTTTAACCTTTTATGTCCCTGGCTTATTGGAAAAGTAAGAAGGCGTGTAATGTAGAAGCCTAAGTATTTACCAACATTATTCCTTATGGTTCCGTATTGTAATTAGACTAGAGATGGGCCCAAAACCCTATTCTAATCGGCTAGGCCCCTGCATTAGGGTTTAGTACGAGAGGCTTATAGGGTTTGTAGAACATGGGGTTGAGGTGGCCTACGAGGGCTTAAAGGCGATCCGTTTTAGGTACCAAAAAATGCCAGTCGGAGTATAGCAAAGTACTTGGGGCCAAGAGCCCTGCTCTTTACGTATTTTGAGCCTCTTAAGAAGGTGTGGGTGATGGTGCTAGAAGTTTAGGGAACTTAGGTACTACGGTAGTGATTGAGGGTTTAGGGTCTAAACGGCTTGAGGCTTTAGGATGCAGGTTCGAGGCCTCGGATTTGAGATCTAGGCGTAGGCCTTCAGTGTTTGCAGTAGGGCAGGTCATGGGGCCTAGAGGGTTTAGAGCAGCCGAACAAACTGCCAATCTTGTCGGGCACGTATCCTATGTTATTGCTTAGGGTCCTGTGATGAAAGTGAGGTAACCAACAGCGGCACTGCGATTCAGGGTTTTGCTAGTTGCTACGGATTCCGGATGCAGGACGGAGGGTTTAGGGTTTAGCGTTGGGGATACTGCGACAACAGGAGCCGCAAGCCCAACAGCGTGTTGTTGACATTTCGAGCGAAGGGTGTTACGATACTAGGTCCGTAGGTTTAGGGGCCTAAATCCAACACCTCGAACCCTATACAATGATTCGGTAAATATGTTAATACGCAAGCAGAGTTTCCTGGCGATTCGGAGACCATATTTGGAACTTCTACTTCAAGTGTTTGCTCCTTAGCCCAAGACTCTAATCCCTCAGCCCGAACAGGTGCAAAACAAAAACTGACCACCCCTCCTTAACAAAGAGAAAGATGTACAGAGAGAGAGAGAGAGAGACCGTGCCTGCGCCTATAGCAGTAACAACGAATGTACAGATGAATAAATGTGTTCATATCCTCAGCACTAGGACCCTAGACCCTAAACCCTCAATGAGTTCATAATCGTTTATACATACATATACATATACATATGCATATTCTTATTCATATTCATATTCATATTCATATGTGTACCTATACACGCGTAAAGTAGCATGTAAACACAGCTGCACAGTCATAAGTGTGTATCACGAACCCATTGTACAGGCAGCGGGGCGCGGAGGGTAGGAAGATCGATGCTTTGGGCTTTAGGGGTCCGAGAAAACTTGGTTCAGATGATACAAACCTTAAACCCCAAACCCCTAAGCCCTAAGCCCCTAAACCCTAAACCCACATAAGGGTTCCATGCGGTTTGGTTAAGCATCCTATGGCGTTCTTCTAGATAAGTTCTCTTTTGTTTTTTTTCGCAAGGGGTTTAGGGCCAAAATGCTGCTCCCCCCCGCCTCCCGTCTGTACGGTGGCATGCCGAAGAGGTATCCGATTCACTTCCACATCATCCAGGAGCAAGGGTTTCGAAGACTCTGAGGCAAACACTTCGAACTGCCCCGCCCCAAAATCTATACGTACCCAGAAAAGCACGCCACCATGACCACCCCCAGCAGCAGCAGCAGCAGCAGCAGCAGTAACAACAGCAACAGCAGAAATAGTAACAGCGACAACAGCACGACGACAGCAGTAGCAGCAGCAACAACAACAACAACAACGACAACGACAACAACAACAACAACATAGCAAGCACAGTAGCTGCAGCCACCGCAACCATCGCAACCACTGCCACCACCACACACCGCAACCACCACATCAATCACAACAATCACAGTCGTCACAACCATCACAACCGCAACCGCAACGTCAACCACAACAGCACACAAGAGAACTGACATCCCAAATCTAACACTACCACAGCACCTGAAACCTAGCCTAAGCCCTTGAGCGTGAAACCTTGATTGCTCGTACCTAAGCTATGCATTTGAGATTGCTTCTTGCCGACACCTCGCCAGTGAACAACAACATCGGAACAACCAGCAGCGATACCTTAAGGGTCCGTGTGCCCAAATAGTATATACGTTGGCCCCGAAGTACCTAGCTGGGACTACCTAAGGCCAAGGTATGTACTATTTGGGCACATGGACCCTTAGGGATCATATACCCCCACCCTTAGCCGCGACCTTCAACCGTGAACCTTCAGCCGGTCCATCCCGGACAGTTATGATGCCGCTTTATATATTTTGGGGGCCTAAATATAATTACCTGTACTATTTTTTTTTTGGTGGGGGGGGTTACCTCATTGTAAGAAAAGTAGAATGTACCCTCAAAACCCTATTCTATTTATTTATGCCCCGATATTGCACATCTTCCAGCGACTTTGTGCAGGACTACGGTTCGTCCTGCTATGCTCGCTACAACTCCATCCACCACAGCTTCCAGCGTGCTGCTTCCCCGGAAATTTGGGTGTCAGGGCTTGAGGCTTGTAGGTATATTTTGCTTTCCTAAAACACAAATCCTTTAGAGCGATTACTTTGGGCCCCTTGATTAGGTTCATGCCTTTGGTATGACATAGGAGCCTGAGTATAATTAGTAACACTATTTCCGTACCATGTGGCCCCTGTATGCACATACAACGCCAGCACCCGCTTTCCGATTGTTAAGGCCCCTTGCCTTTAGCATACACACAAAGCCCCTCAAGCCCAAATCCTTAATGAAAGCATCCTAGTGCTGGATTAAAGTCCTTGGCAGGCATATAGTTGTCTCATGTTGTCCCTAAACCCAGAACCCCTAAACCCTGAACCCTAAAACCCTAGACCCCAAAACTCTACACCCTCAAACCCTGAACCCGCTACACCCCTAAACTCCAACCCTAAACCCTAAACACCTACACCCGGGGGCACGAGAGATGGCAACTCAAGGCCTCAAGGCCTTTGGCTTCCCGTGCTTAGTTTAGGGTTTAGGGTTTGGAGTTTAGGGTTTGGGGTTTAGGGTTTGGGGTTTAGGGTTTGGGGCTTAGGGTTTAGGATTTAGTGCCGATATCATGTCAGAAAGTTGCCATGTATCCTTGTTGTGGGCAATTTGGCCTCGGTTTTTGTTTCACAGGGCATGGGGGCGGGCGGAGACTGTTTTTATCGAGGCTCTGACCATCCACGCCACGAGCTATGTGCATGTGAAGGGCAACGTTGCCTTTGACATCATCGGCCACATGCCACTCGGCTCAACCAGTACCTCAGAAGACCATTAAGAGACTGAACCCTGAACCCTACTCTAAGCCCCTAAACCTTAAACCCTGAACCCTAAACCCCTAACTCAAAGCTCTAAACCCCCAAGCCCTAAACCCCTAAAGCCCTAAACCCTGAACCCCGAACCCCTGAACCCTGAAGCCTAAGCCCTGAACCCTAAACCCTAAACCCAGTAAAGAAAGTGAGCAAGCAGAAAGCAAACGTAGAGAACCCTGTCCAGGGCTTGTGCAAAGCAATGGCAGAATCCACCCTAAACCCTAAACCCTAAACCGTACCCTAAACCCTACCTGGAACTTCCTTCGGTGATTTATTCTTGGCCGTTTGTGTTGTTGCCTAGTTCTCTGTGTGTTCGACAAGTTAATCTGGGTTCGTGCAAGAAAACTAGTTTCATAGGTTTCGTATACATTCTTTGTGTTTCAGGGCTTGCATCTGCAGGCCCGACTGGGGTGCTTCAAGATCGCCCATTTGCTTGCTCGCCTCGAGATATGCAAGCATTTCAGATGCTAGACCTAGAAAGATTGAGGAGAAGCATGTGTATGTGTTAGCCAGCTCGTAATCACCCACCTACTGATACTATGATGTCTCTTACTCGTGCTTCTATATGCTTCTATCGGATAAGCTATCACCACCAAGATGAGAACGACTACAACTGCCAAGGGTCCTGCTGCTCCCCCTGCCATCTCCCACTATGGCTATGGCTGCTGCTACTAATAGCAACTATATGCTACTTGAATCCAGCTACAATTGGGAACCATCGTGGTACTAGTTAGACATATGTACGATGTATAATATGTAGGTGGGTATCACCATGGGTGCACACATAAAGTAAACCTGCATTTGTCTTGTACGCACAAGAACCCCACACAGATGCCTAGAGGGATCACATGCATGGGCATATATTAAGATCATCAGCAATCACCACCATGCCATTCATCATCGGATCTCGTCGATGGCGAGAAGAGCAGTGCCTCCGGAAGGTGCGCCCGTGCCCGTGCAGGGATTATTGTGGCAGATATGTGAGATTGCTTGTGGCTTGAAACATGTATGTGCGCATGCACAAATGTGTTTCTTGTTCGATCTGGGATTCTGGGCTCGAGGGTTGAGCATTACTCCTTTTAGGATTTGGTGGCTTCGATTTGGCCATGTCGACTCGTTTGGCTGAAGATTGGGAATCCCTCCCGGAGCTTCGACGCCTAGCTCAGAAGCTGGTGCTTGTTACTTGGAAGCTCTAGCTGCAGCCATCAAATATACCCACCCAAACACTTCGCATGTTCGCTTAGGTTCAAGTTTCTGGGACCGGGACTACAAGGGAGAGCATCGTGCAGAATGAGGCGGTTCTCAAACCTGCTTTGCAACACCTGGGTATGCGACCGAGTGTGCAGACGTGTATGCTGCATATCAAAGCGTTTTTCGATTTGATGCAGCTGTCGATTCCTGCTGCACATGTGTATACACAGGGATGGGCCTTCCGTCGCATGATCTCTATGCTTAACCTCATTGTCCGGCGAGGGCACACGCCACGGGAGGCTGCCATTGTCAGGCTAATGGAAAGTGTTGGCTTGACTATCACTCCGAATGCTGAAGCTGATGATGGCACCAGTACACGTGCGAGTTCAGAGGATGAGGGATGTTCGGAACATGAAGAGTCTGAAGAACTCAGCGATGATGAAGATGTTGACGCGGGGCTTGCTGGAAGTAGTGCTTGGGCTGCCATATAGCATGGTGTAAATGAGACTCTAGATTATACTTTCCTTCAAACTTTACAACCTTAAGCTTAAACCCTGGAACCCCGAGATATCCCAGCCCACTGCTTAGGTATCCCAGATCTCGACCTTCCTGGTGATCGCGAAGTTCGAGCGCCTGCAGAGGAGATTTCCCTGTTTCCGTTCACGCTTAGCTCGGCTTGCAAAGGGATTCAGATTTGTACAGGAGAGTTCAAGCAGAGCTCCTGCTTCGGTGGTTCCTCCAGGGGCCATCTCGACGAGTGCTGTTGTCCCTAAGAGCCCTGCTGTGGAGACCACTGCTGCTGCCGACACACACCCAAAGATGAGCCCTGCTGTGGAGACCAACAATGCTGCTTGCTGTCGACACACACCCCAAGTTGAACCCTGCTGTGGAGACCCCTGCTGCTGCCGACACACACCCCAAGATGAGCCCTGCTGTGGAGACCAACAGTGCTGCTGTCGACACACACCCCAAGATGAGCCCTGCTGTGGAGACCACAAGTGCTGCTGTCAACAGACACCCCAAGATGAGCCCTGCTGTGGAGACCGCTGCTGCTGACACACACCCCAAGATGAGCCCTGCTGTGGAGACCAACGGTAGTGCTGCTGTTGACACACCTCCCAAGATGAGCCCTGCTGTGGAGACCAGTGCTGCTGCCGGCACACACCCCAAGATGAGCCCTGCTGTGGAGCCGAGCCCTGCTGAGTCAAGCCCCACTTACGAGATGAGCCCTGTCAGCATGGTGGCATCTTCCGCAGGCCAGCTCGTGCATAGCCGGTTGATCATATTAATCATGCGAATACCAGCTAGCATGATCGTTATACTGATCCGTTGCTGCAGGCAGCAATCCGGTGGTGAAGACGACTCCCAACAAGACGGTGATATCTCGGGACCCGGTAGCTAGGGCACTTATATGTCTCGAGATCCGAGTTCTGCAATGATTATATTAGTGCTAGCACACTTCGATCAGAACTCAGGTAGCTCAACAGCAACAGCTCATCGATCAGCTGCAGAAGTTGACAGAGCTACTCGAGTTGAAGAAAAAGCTCAAGGAACTTCAAGAAGCTCAAAGTGCTTGCCCTCATCCTGGATGTTACTCAACTCAACTTGTATCGTACATGAAGCAGCTAGTGCAGTGTATGCATGTAGCAGACTTTAGACTCGTAATCCCCTCTCCCCCCCGCCACTGGAGGCCTTGACAACGTCGACACCCAGCCCGTGGACCTCGACGCCGTTGTGGCTGGCTTTCCTTCAGCCGCACGGCGGTGAATTAGCTTTGGTTGTGTTTGTGCACGCGTATGTGCTAGCTGCATACATGTATATATTATAGATACGTACTCATGTACACATGCATGATCGAGGCTGTGCTGGCAGCCACAGGAGTTTCTGATCGATCGAGCACAGATGCCACAGAGCGGGTCGAGGCAACTGTGCCACCCAAACCCAGAGGTATTCATAGAGGTACAGTCATTGAGGAAATTGAGGTGCTAGCGGAGAGGCCATGTGGGCCCTTTAGGTCCCCGCCAGTGGCAGTTCCGATGCCGGAGCCAGTGCCCGCAATTCCGATGCCAGAGCCAGTGCCTGCAAATCCAATGCCAGAGCCAGTGCCAGCTGCAAAGCCGGTGAGTGCAGCACTGTCATTGAAGCGTCTGTTTGCAAAAAACATGGAAGAGAAGCGGGCAGCTAAACGTGCTAGAGATCAGGGTGAGGGCAAGGTCCCAGATCAGGCGGAGCTGAAGGCCGAGGAGCCGATCATGCAGCCTCCGGTCCCAACGCCTGTGCGCAGTAAGACTGCTGCTGCACCAAGAGTCTTTGGCAGTGATGAGGAGATTGCACGGGCTTTGGCTGAGTTCGATGACGATTCGGAGGATGACCGTGCAACAGAAAACTATTCCTTACAATTTGAGGAAGGTGAGGCGACAAGTGATGAGGAGGAGGCCTCGTTGGTTGAGCAGGCAGAGGTTGCCTCAGTGTCGCTTTCCATTCGGGGTACGAGTGACGGTGAAGAGCGAGCTCCTATCTGTGATGCTGGTGATGAAGATGGAGTTGCTGCCGAAAAGGCTGAGCCTGCCGAGGCCTCTGGCAGTCCCGAGGAGGAGATTGCGAAAACGTTTGGCCGGCCCCCGGCATGGAAGCCTGGGTTCACTGAGTTCTTATCCCCTGAAGATCAAAAGTCTCTGTCCAGGGGCAGGAAGCCTTGCAAGGGCAAAGGCAAGCGAAAGTCGAGGGCCAAGCGGTCAGCCGATGCAGATGCCGAACCCCCCAAACCTTGCAAGCGGGCCCGGAAGCCCTCCAAGAAGCCTGCTTCCGATCCTGCAGGCACTGACTCCCTCCCAAGCGCATCTTCGAAGAAGCCTACCAAGAGGACCCGCTCCAGCCCTTCGGCCCCCAAGAGTGCTCGCAGGTCAATCTTGAAGAAGGCTGGTCGATACGTGTCCGAGGATTCCAGCCCATCGGCTGCCACGCGTGGTGGCAAGTCTTCCAAGAAGCCTGTTGCCACAGTCTGCCCGGACGCAGCCGAAGCCCCCCGCCCAAAAGCCAAGCCAACGAAGAAAACAGCAGCCAAGGCGAAAGCCAAATCCGAAGCGAAAGCAAAGTCTCGCGATCCAAGCTACAGAGCACCGTGCACACTTGAAGCCGAGTACAAAGCACGCGTGAGCCGCAAGTCCTGTGCTTACCATAGGGCACTCAAGCAGGCTCGTGCTGAAGGCAAGAGTGAGGCTGAGATGAAGGCTCTCGCCCGTGCAGCTGCTTAGCTTAACTTAGCATGTGTATGTATGTGCATGTACATGCAAATATAACAACATACATGCATGGCTAGTCCGAAGCAACCCAAGTCCCATGTGATGTGAGCCCTACTCTGAGGCTTATGCTGCCATGGAGTGAATGCTCAAAAGAGATTGCTACAGGGGCCCGACGGATGCAGCCGGAATGGCTGATCCACCATGGTTGGGTTTATACTTTGTCGGGATGGACCATGCACCTAATCCTTTAGGCTTTAATGTTATACAAGCTCGCTAGGCCTAGGCTAGTCGATTCTCCTGACATTGTCTGCCCTCAACCATTCGGGAATCGTCGTTCCAAACCTTGCAGCCTAGCTTTGCAGGGACTTGTGATTTCGAGCTGATATGTCACACGTGCATATCATCGGTACTCGGGAGACATGTGATGCCTAGAAGTCGGTGGGGATTCATGCCGGCGACCGCACAAAGCAGGATGAAAACAGCGCTTCGAGTGTGCAGATTTGTCCTTCTCCGTACACTAGTGTATCATATGTGCTGGCCTACAACACACACGCTGTCGCAGGTCAACAAGTTCTGGGACAAGCTGCTGCTAGAATCGAGTCTGGATGTGTGGCCGGCAAGTTACAAGGGATCCCCCAGGCATGCATCACGTGATGTAGCATCATTTGACTGGTGCGATCAGTCCTGCTTTGTTCCGTGCAACCATGGCCATAGTATGGTGCATCCTGGCAACGACTTGCATCACCAACCCTGCTCAAGCAACCTCGTTATCTAAGAGTTGTACATATGTGCATAATACAACTATACATGTATCTAGAAGTATATAGATACTATATTTTAAAAATTATAATTAATAGCTAATCAAAGCCTACAGCCCCCAAGCTCTAAGGGTGTTCATCAGGTTCGTAGGGTTTTGGTTTTGAAGTCGTGCTGCTGACCACAGACTTTTGTTGCAAGCATGGTCCCAGAGAATATCATCTTGGCACTGGTTCAAGTGCAAGCTCCCAAAGCGCCTAGGCTTACAATCGAGAGGTCCAGGAGTCTGGGGATCTAGAGTGGTACACTGTTAGTGCTGTTTGTTATTTGGGTCACTCGGTGGTGCGATTTGCTGGGATCCCGGGTGCCTTCCCGTAAGCCCTACAAGTAGTTCAGTAGACCGATCGAACAACCTCCAAGCCGTGCCGTGCCCCAGGTATTCATCGCCTGTGTGACTTAACTCAACTTTACTGGTGTGAGAGCCTGTGATTCTGGTATATCTTAGAAAGGGTGTTGTGTCTCCAACCTACTTGATTAAGGTACTCTTGCTGCTTTGGTCCACCGATGTGAACTCAACCTATCATGTTGTCGAGCTGTTCTCTGGTGTGGGAAGGATTGCGAAATGCTTCCGGGATGCTGGCTACAAAGCTGTTGAATATGATTTCATCCATGGTTCATCGATGGATTTCCTTTCTTCAGCTGGGTTCCTGCTGCTTGGTTTACACCTTACATCAGCCAGGCAACTGCACTGCTAGCTCGACATGCAGCTAGGTATCAAGTGTAGTTTAGGGTCAGGTTAGGGTCACAAAATTCACGGGTAGACCTACAAGGTTGAGTGCTTAGTGATTCGTACATTTGGTGTTTTATATTATATATAGATTTAAGGTAAGGTTTGCTCTACGGCTTAGGGTTTCCCGGGTAGGTAGAGCCGGCCGGTTTATTGGGTTTGTAAAGGACGAAGACAGCACTTCCTTGAGTTCGGGGATGGGCTGTGATACAGGTTTATATACCCTCGGGTAAGGGTTAACGATACTATGATAGTTCACTCTCATGCTGTAAGTTTAGAAAATAATACTTAGGCTGGCTGCACAAGTCCTCCTATGTCTAGTCCCTGGTGGACTCCTTGTCCTGGCACCAGACTGCTCGTCATGGACGATCATGTCCAGAGGAACTTCCTGGCGATCGGTTGTGAACCCGGCAGGCAACCAAAGTCTTCAATGGGTTCAGGACAATAACAAAGCTGTGAGCCGGTGCTTTACCTGCAATGCTTCGATGTTTGGAGATGTACCTAGCAACTACGACGAGCTTTGAGAACCAAGGTTGACGCTTCTTCTGATGTTATGCACAGCAGTACATGGACTGTTCTTGATGGAGCAACCATCGTCCTCAGAGCATGTGCTAGCGCGGCATTGGCGATTCGAAAAGTTCTGCAACCATATCTGCTGGGCCCTTCTTCGTGCAAGCAATTGTATACAAGCACAGGGTCTGTGGTGTTCTTTGAGCAGTTGGTGGTTCATGGCTCGGGGTGCAGCATAATGTTGAACTCAGGTTTGGAAACAAAGGTTCTGGATGATGCATTACGGAGCTGAGTGCCCGAAGCTGTCGATTGCTTGGTGCAACAACTATTGTTTGGCTTCTGGTTTGGTGACTAGTCTGCACCAGGGCGGGCTACTTGTCGTTTGGGTCATGATCTTGCTGCAACAGCTAAGGCTACCCCAGTGCTGACCAAAGAGGAGCGACTTGCTCGTACACGAGTCCAGACTACAAGTGCCTTTGCTGAAGTGATGCCCTTCTCTAAAGCATATGGTGTGTAGCTAGATAGATCCTCTAAGGCCGCAAAAGAACCAGAGACGGCCAAGACAAGTTCCGTGGGACCAATGCATTAAAATCAACTTCGAAGCTTAGCTGCAATTTGGCTACTTATATTAAGCTAGCAGCTAGCTATATAATTATAGATCCAGCTCGAGAGCCTTTGCCCAGGGCATACCCCGAGGGGTTCGCCAAGCACATCTTCGATGTGCACCAATGCATCGGGCGCGAGCCTGGGAGGACTTTGCGACAAAAGGCACCCATAGACACTGGACTCAGTGACAGGGAGCTTTTCCAGAGGCTACCGATGGGGGATGTGTGGTCCGATGCAGGGCTAGCAGATGTGTTCTTGTATATGCTTCAATCGCATTCCCTGAACATCCCGGATTCATGGCACGATACGATGATGGATTTCAAATCGCAGCTTCGAGCTGTGACTCGGGGTAATTATGTGCAGATTCCAGTATAGGTTCGTGTTGTCTAGGGGGGGTGAGGTTCATTTAAGTCTCTGAATCGAGAGCTCAGGCGGGCCCACCGGCTCTTTGAGGGGACCAAGCTGAAGCTGGGCTGCACATAGAGCAGTACAGCTGCTAATAAGCCCAAGTCTGTTCAGTATGCAACCGGGACCCCGATAGTGAACAGTACGACCCCAGAACCCCAACAGTATGCGAAATTACGATCCCAAAATTGCTCGGCTAGTTCTGAATCCTACTAAACACAAAAAACCGCGACCACTTCTTAGCGCAAAACCGCCGCAAATTGCACGCAAAACCGCCGCAAACTGACGCAAACTCCCGCAAATCCCGATTAGTGGTTTTTTGCTTTTTCACAAACACTACAAACCTCTCCCGACAGCCGAGGAACAAGCGGGATCGGATGATCTATCTTTAGATGCCTCATCTTGGCTGCACAATTCAATCTAATTAACTATGGATCTGTGGCTGTGAGAGTGCTACAAAAGCATTACATGGGAACTGGAGCTGCGTGGCCAGGCTACTAGCTGTGAGATGAGATTGCTGCTGCATGGTTCCATATGTGGCTGCTTGCAGGAAGCATTTTTCGAGGATCATGCAGCCTGATCAGGACACCCTGCGAGGCTGTCCCACTTTCGTTTCAGGGCTTCAAGTAGTTGCTGACCAACAAGTGTCAACAGCCATGGCCTTGGACCCCAATGTTCTTCAAGCTCAGATTGCAGCAGCTAGGCTGATCGAGTGCATTGAGCAGTATTAGCCTCAAGGGGTCGTGTGTCATACATTGCATAGCATAGAACCCGGGTGCCCGAAGTACTAGAGCTCCTAGCAACACAGAATTAAAGTAACCCTTGAGGGTATGCCCATCCCAGGCCATGATGGCACGCATCAACGAGCTTCAAGCTGAGGGTGGTGTTGTGCCCTCACCATCATCGGCGAGCCCTGCCAGTTTGTCAGGTAGCTTGTTTGCAACATACCAGTCTCTATGCATATATTTTAGCTAGCAGCTACAATCGTGGGTCGTAGTGAACAGGTGCTGCTTATCATACATCGAAAGCTGCTGGCAATTTCGTTCCTGGTCTTCAGCAAGCAAAGCTTGTTGATCAACGTCTTGTCCAGCGCGCCAACACTGGGACTTCGTTGACAACTACTGTGCCTTATCTACAGTGTAGAGTGTAGATCATGCTAGCTTTTTATTTTAACATAAAAGTCGGAGTCGAGCTTCATGCCTAGGCGGCTCTGTCGCCACTCTCGAAGGGTGAGAGCCCTCTGCAGCCCCGTGCTTTAGATCTGAGTGCCCAGGCTGATATGTGTAACGGGCCAACACACGCTCGATTATTAGCCTTCATCAGCTAAGGTTGCCCTCCAGAACAAAATGCCTGGCCACATGACAGGCAGCCTGAGGCTTTGGAGACACAACCAACAATAGTTACCAGCAGCCCGCCAGCCAAGAGGACACCCCAAAGTGTACCGGCTATGCGGCACGACCCTAGTGAAGAAGTGCTCCCAAGCCAGGCCCCGAACTCCGACAAGAGCCCCAAACCCCACAAGAGCCCCAAGTCCAACAAGAGCCCCAAGTCCAGCAAGAGCCCCAAGTCCAGCAAGAGCCCCAAGTCCAGTCCTCCTTCCAACTGTCCGGAGATCCCACAGGATGCCGAGCCACCTGCAAAAGGTAAAGGCACAGGTGACCGCACAGCCCGAAAGCTCTTCGAGAGTACCGGACCACCCAAGAAGTCGACCAACCAATATGAGGATGGATCATACTGGAGGAGTCATAGCTTCACTAGTGTGGGTTTACTTCGCTAGCTTCTTTGTGTGTATGTGCATGAGCCAACATGGATCACCCAAGGATGCGCCGATACTTCCAGCCCAACAGCAAAGGCCAAATCACCGCTAGCAAGATTGCCCAGGAGCTCTATACCAAGGATCGTTCACGAGATGCATTTATACACTTGCCGAACGCTTCGAGCAGTTTTGTATGATGTGTGCGATAGCTGTGCATGTGTTTCTAAGGTGAGAAGCTCCGGCGGATGTTGCAGGAGCACGGCTCCTTTGCAGCAGTTGAGGTGGAGCTGAAGCGCTACCACAAGAAGGAGGACGAGGAGGAGCTGGAGGGGGGATGGCACACACAAGTTTCCTTGGAGAAGGAAAACTGGACTGAGATACTCGTCTCCATCATGCATGTACACGTAGAGAACGATTTCATATGCTGGGTGGGTGATCTGACTCTAGGTCTATGATATCCAACAGCCGGCAGTGGGCCCTGGCTCGAAATCTTCTGCGGCGCAACGAAGTGCACGGTGCAGAAGAGTGGAGGATTCCAGTGAGGGAGGTTTACCGCCACCGTACAGTGAAGGGCCAGAGCTCTGAGATGAAGGGCACTCTGGAAGTGGAGGACTGCATGTATGGTCTGTGTGTTATATGCATGTGCACATGACACTGTACGTGTGTATCGCTTCGGCTACAAGTTTCGATCATGTTGGGAGGACCCTGATGGGGAGCTGCTGAACGACAATGCAGACAAAGATGGGCTCATGCTGTGGCTCAGCTTATACACTCTACTAGCTGCCGGTAGTTGTATAATATGTCTGTGGTCATCTAAGGAGAGGCTCTGTTACGAATGTTCGTGCCCTGCAGCAAGCCCCTTCGAACGGTTCGGGGAAGAACCAGCTGCAGCTGCCGGTCTTGCAAGAGAACACGGACCCCCTGTGCACCTTGCTCGCCCATAAATGCTTCAACCCACGGCCTGCAGCCCGTAACCCCTTAAAGCTAATACCCATCTGAGGCCATCTGCCCATCTACATCGACATCATCGGCAAGAAGCTCGACAAGTGCATGGAAGTGAAGGACTGAAGTATTTTTTGTGACAGCATTAGATGCTTAGACTTACATGTGCCAGGAGAAACTCGAGTCTATGAATGTGGCACGTGGCCAGAAGCGCGGGGGAAGGGGGCTAGTAGAGTCAGCTAAATTCAAAGGACAGGTAGGCTTGGGGTTGCAGTGCTTCGGTTTCGTGATTGTGTAGCATAGCACGCATGTGTGACTTACTTTAAGTCTTAAGTTTGATGAGTAGTGTCTCGCCTATAGACCATATGTTCAAAGTATTCATGTGCAAGCTGTATGGATATCCCGTTGTAGTTCTAGACTCTAGACTATGTAGCACTCGGCTTTAGGGGTGCTCTAGTATCCCTATATTCATAAACCCCTAAACCCCTAATCCCTATAGAACTAATCTGTCAGGCTGGCTGATGAAATGGATACGCAGCTGAAGAAGTACCAAGACATCTACGACAGGCTGATCGAGGTCCAAGGCAACATCATGGACAACCCGTCCAAGTCCCTCTGATGCAGTAACACGATACCAATTCCCGATGTGCTGACACTGCCTTGCCTGTAGCGAAGCAATTTGACCAAGGTCCTGGAAGGATGCACTTGTGAAGCAGTTTGTAGATTGCACCAAAGCAGATGTTAACATCAACAACTTGCTGTCTCGTGCAAAGTGTGGCTGGCATGCTTTTGTTGATCGGGGCTTCGGCCTACACTTGCCTTGTAGCTATGTCGGAGATCACATGTGCCAGGAGTGTGAAAGCCCCGACTTCGAAGAAGGAGAAGGAGACCCCGGAGAAGAAGAGCGGCAAGAAGAAGGGCAAGGACAGGGGGGAGAAGAAGCCGAAAAAGGAGGCCAAGTCAGAGCGCCCATCCTCGAGCAAGCGCCGAAAGATGCGCTAAGCTTTTTCGTTTCAGCTGGGTTCAGGGCCTGTGTGAGTCCAGCAATGTGATTAAAACATGCACATGTGAACCGGCATGCATACGAGTGGCAAAGCTGTGTCATGCAGAGCTCTGACTGGGGCATCACAACAGCAGTTGTGCTTTTGGGCACTTGCTGAAATGCTTGCAATTAAGGCTACGCGACACTAGATCATACGCAATGGGGATAAAAGGTGTTGCTTGCTCTGCCCGTCCCTTGTCCTGAGTCGTTCTGCTCTTTGATGTCAGCTGCCTCCGCACGTGTGCCAGGGGGACGCACTCTGAGGCGGCTTCTGGGGCCAGGTGCAGGCACAGTGTGGGTATGCATGCATACCATGATGCATGATCATATGACTTACGATCCAGAGCAACTGCCCCTGAGGCCAAGAGGATGATGACGACGAGGACGCAGAGCTGGCGCACGAACTGATGTATGACTACCTTTCCGGAGCCCCTAGGCCTAAAACTATGTGTACATCGAAAAGGCATATGTGTGTGTGTGTGCTGCAAAGGCCGAGAGTGCTAATCGAACAAGCAAGATTGCCACGATGATTTGTCGAGTGCGAAAGAAGTGACCCCTGGCTTGCACGTGTCAACTAGACCTAGCAACCTAGCAAGTTGTGTTATTTTCATGTCGCTTCGAAAGCTGCATGTGTATACGCAGGTTGCGGTGTAGTAGAGCGACTTGCTGTTGTATAGTGTGGTGTGGCATGGTTCGCCATGGTGCAGCATGGAGTGGTGTGTTGTGGTGTGGTGTGGTGTGCTGTGCTGTGCTGTGCTGTGCTGTGCTGTGCTGTGCTGTGCTGTGCTGTGCTGTGCTGTGCTGTGCTGTGCTGTGCTGTGCTGTGCTGTCATGTGGTGTGAGGTGCAATGAGGTGTGAAGTGTGGGGTGTGGAGGGTAAAGTGTAGGGTGCACGGGGTGTGTCTTGTGCTTTCGTACTACATGTGCTTGGTTGCTCTAGTGACCTTAGTGTCTGTGTGGGGTCGCAGAAATGGGTGGGCTGTCCGTGCATGTAATGCATGTATAGCATGATCCAAGGTGGCAGGCCAGACATGCTACACAAGCTCGCCAAAGCTGGCACAAGTCGCACGAATGTTTGCCGAAACCTGCATACACTGCTTAAGAAAAGTGGAGCTGAATATCCAGTGGCCGTGACAACTGCGCCTACAACAATCAGACTTCGCAAGCCTCGACCGCATGATGAAGTTCTGCAGTGGCCTGTCATTCGGATCTCTGATTGGGCCCGTGTTCTTCTGGAAAAGAACCCGGAATACTTACTGGGCGGTTGCAAGCTGGAGCATGAGCTTCGCTGGGAAATGATTTTTTCGAGTTTTTGGGACAACTTTCGTTCCATAAACCCGGGCCACCCAGCTTACACTTCAGGCCTCGATTTGTCGAGGTTGATACCCTATGCGATTCATGGTGACGAAGGCCGAGGACTCCGAGGCAAGCCATACTTGGTGGAATCATTCCAACCTATAATCTCGAAGCATGGACCGTTTGTTACGAATGAGTCAGGGCAGCCGGCTAGCAGTGATGGGGTGAGAGCACTAGTTTATTTTATCAACGAAGCTGTATATAGTAAGGTGGGATATAGATTTGAACTAATATGATAAGGGTATCTAAAGATGTACCTTTTATCGTTCCATAATTCTACCTTCCTAACAACCCGCTGGTTATGTACAATCAATTTATCTCCTTGTCTGTGTTACTCGTAAACCAATATTTGTAGGTTCACCCCAAATTTTAGCAGCCTTAAGATTTGGCAGTGTGCTTTTGTACTTGCAATTTAAACACATTAACACCCCAACCCTAAAGCCCCCAACACAGGCCATAGTCCAGAAGCCCCAAAGCCCAGCAGAGGCATTCATTGACCACACGATTCTTGACAATTTGCATCTCTTCACACCTGTTCGCCGAGAACAAAACCCTCTGCGATCTACATTCAGCATTAGCGAGCGATGCTGAAGATGCTTTTTGGAAAGGAATTGAGGCTGCTACAGCTGATTAGAATATGCTATGCAGTTATACTTGTAATTAGCTTATGGACATAAAGGGTTTGATCGATATGAGGGGCTATCTGAGGTGTGTGGAGTCCGCTTTCATATGGCCTGCATAGCCGGCAAAGGAGATTGGAAGTATCTCCGCCAGGAGCGGCTTGGGATAAACTGTAGATACCGTAAACCATACAAAACACAACCTACCTAAATGTACCTCATCGGCTACAACCTCTAGCTGCAACTATATAGTACGATGCCAATCTGAAACGCCATTGTGCAGCCCAGTAGCTACCATATAGGTTTGGGTTTAGGGTTTGTTAGGGTCTGGCTAGTAGGGTTTAGGGTTTGTTAGCTGTCTAGGGTTTAGGGTTTAGGGTTATTTCCTTGCAAGCCGGCCAGGCTTACGCGCTGTCGACTGGATACAACTGCAAGGAGAAGTGTCACCTTTGTCAAGCGGAGGTTTCGTGGCTATATTGGCTTCGGCTAACACATTACATTAATGGCCAATTGTTAGTTTGTTTGAAGCAATCGAGGATTGGTATGTTCTGTCAAAAGATGCATCCTGGCGTGACACGATTGGCTGCCGAACAGCCAGCCCTCACAAAACTGACGAGATCCCTCTGTTCAGAATTCCGGGATTGAAGACAAATGCAATCATGACAGATCTTATGCACACGTTTCATTTGGGCTGGGGCCAGGATTTGGCAGCTAGTGGGCTGGTCCTGCTATGCAATCTGGACGAGTTCGGGAGAGGTGCAATGGATAAACGATTGCATCGAGCATACACAATGTTCGTGGCCTACTGTGTTAGGACAGGGCGAACCACAGGCTGTGACAAATTCTCGAGAATCGCGTTCGATATGACTCTAAGCCTTAAGTTGGTATTTCGATTCATAGGTCGACCATATTAGCCGCGAACATAACAGGTCGATCGAAGGCTTACACATGCGAACCCGTCTAAGGAAAACCAACAATGACTGGCCGACATCTCTTGGTGGCAAGGCTTATGATACCTTCTTGGTTCTGGCTTGGATGGAGGATCACCTCGAAAATTCGGTTGCTGATATTGCAAAACTTGAGCAGGAGCTTTGAGCACTTAATTTATAAGCACTGCAAAATATAGAGTACATCCCAACTTTTTTAAGGCCAAGCCCCCAACTCCAAACCGATCGAGCTATCCTAAGGCAAACCAGGATCCTGATGTGCAGACCCTGCGATACACGGTGACGTGTGCCAACTTCTACTTCCGAACTCAGCGAGCGCATGGTGTGTTCTTACCCAACGAAGCTAGGCAGTTGGTCTCAGCTGCTGGTCAAGACATGGAAGCTCCTCGCCTACGATGATCTTATTATGTGTACACCTAAATTTATAAGTAAGTCAGGCTTGTACACGTAGACAACTGAAACCCCTGGCTCAGGAAGGCTTCGGTCGGCTAGCTGCTTCAGCAAACAACCGTGGCTGGAGGTTGTTCTATCTCCGGCCTAAGATCCATATGTCCCAGCACCAGAGCTTGAACGTCCTACTTGGAGACTCCCTGGGCATAAACCAGCTATGCCTTTCGGATGCAATAGTCGCGAGCTATAAGTCGCATATGCTTATTTTTTCGAGCTGCATTGTAGTGATCGTATGACTCTACCCCTAAGGCTTCGCATGTTGGCAAGATGAAGACTTTATTGGCAAGTGCAGCAGATTGGCCAGAACCTGTGGCCCTCAGCGTTTGACAACCCGTTGCATGCAGAAGATGTTGGGATTGTACAAAAGGCAGCTAGAGTCCAGCTAGATCGAATACCCGGAGCACCGAGCCCAGAAAAGATGCCGAGGTCGCGGCCTGCTCGGCTTGATGTCGAAGGTACATCAGCATCACATCACAGAGCATCTCATAAGTATTGGGGGATCGATATGTCTTCCCAACCCACGATCACTTTTCCCGAGTTCGTACTAGTTCCTTGCCGGTTCGAACCAGTTCTGGGGGAAACACCAAAGAAACATCGAAACAACAGAAAAAAAGACTACAAACACAAACGAGCAAAAATAAGCCATCGAACGAACTTCTAGGTAAACCCTAAAACCCTAGGCGCCTCAGGGCAGGAACCCTTAAGCAGACCGTCGCCTCGATTCCGGGTTTAGGATTTACGGTTTAGGGTTAAGGGGTTTAGGGTTTTGGGGTGTGGGGCGGGGTTTAGGTTTAGGGTTTAGGATTTACGGTTTAGGGTTAAGGGGTTTAGGGTTTTGGGGTTTGGGGGGGGTTTAGGTTTAGGGTGTAGGGTTTAGGATTTACGGTGTAGGGTCTTTGAGTCTTGGTCTTCTGGGCCCTGTTTGCACAGACTATCCGGAGCTCTTCATAGGGATAAGATCCGCCGCAGGATTGAGGGGTTTTGGCAAGCTGTCGGATTTAATGATGGAGGCTAGGATTTAGGGCTAGGGTTCAGGGTTTAGTATTTAGGCCTGGGGTTTGGAGTTTTGTGTTTAGGGTTCAGGGTTTAGGGTTAAGAGCCACAGTGGCGGCCATACTAGAGTTGTATCAGGTTTGTACATCTAAGAGGTCCATGGCCTGATCCACAGGTCCTGGCTTCAGGGGGATTGGGGATGTTGGGTTTAGGGAGTTTAGGGTTTGGGGTTTAGGGGCTTTTCTTGGGAGTACACCTAACCAAAAGGTGGAGCTAGCTGCCGCGACGTTTAAACCATAGGATTGTAGGCTCTAATGTCAGGCTAGGTAGTTTTGGCCCAACTCCCCAGTTGCTTTCGGGTTCATGGGCTATACCGACCTCAACCCCCCAAAAGTACCCGCAACAGTTTGGGGTGTACCGGGCAAACCCCTCGCACCGTTTGCGTCGGGCTCCGAGACCTGGTGAAGAGGTCGGATGTCCGCAGGATCGCTGAGGCAACAAGGGCACTTCCAGGGTTTAGGGCCGGTTTAAGGTTTAGGGTTACAGGGTTTAGGGTTTAGGGGACTTGTGGGCCACCTACCCATGTATCTGCAGAAAACTATTTGTCATAATTTCATCACCTCCTTTCCATAAACCCTGACTCAAACATAGCCTACCACTTTAGCAGCTACAACGTGTACGCTGGACAGATGAAGGTAAAACTCTGGACTCAGGATACTGAGTTCCTGCAATCCCTTGGCATTTCGGGCCCCTAATTGGGTTTTAGGGCCCCTAATTAGGGTTTAGGGCCCCTAAGGTTCACGGGTTGCTGCAGTCAGGATCGAAAGAAGGCAAGGCCAGAATTATATGGCTGTTTTCACAGCCCCACCTGACCTAGAGCACGTAGAGTCCTGCTCTAGAGCCGTGAACCTTCAGGCATGTAGGCTTAGAAGTGTCGATTCCGAACTTGTTGAGCTTATCCTGAATCCCGAGGCTCTAAACAAGTGTTGCAACTACTTTGCCAGCGTACCTACAAGTCTTTATGCACCAGTTTGCTCAGGTTCTTCGTGGAAACTGGCATGGAGAAGCCGAGCGCTCAATCTTGTCGGCTGCCGTGTTGCCACAGTAACATTAGCTTGTAGTACCCTTATAGTCCTATAGTACCCTTATAGTCCTATGGTACCTAATAGTCCTATAGTACCCTTATCGTCCTATCATACCCTTATCGTACCCTTGTGTAGTATCCCTGTAGCAGCACCCTTATATATTACCCTTATACTACCCTCCTTCAGCAGCGCCATCGCACGGCCGTCACACAGAAACACATGAGCCCAAACTGAAGCTCAACCCTAAACCCCAAGCTCCAAACCCGTCATACCGTAGCCCTGTGCCTACGTTCGATGAGATAAGTCCTGCAGTACCCACAATATGGAATATATACCACATTTCCCATAGTTTAGGGTCTTTAAGGTAATGCAGGATTTATATCATCAACAGTAGTTTAACCTTTACTTTGGAGCCTCAGGGTTCCATGAGCTCGCGTTTCCGCGGCTGCACTTGAAAATCCATGCGTGAAGAGAAAGGCGACACAAGCCGGTTCAAGGAGACTTTCTACAGGGTTTGCTTAATGAACCCTAAGTGTCCATGTACTCATATAGTAGGTACATTGGCCTTAAAGTAGTCGTCCCTATATAACTACACTGGGGCCAAAGTATATAATATTCGGGTACATGGACCATTAGGGGAAGTCTCACTGAAGCTCTGCAGCCACCGAAAACCTGCAGCGGTCTCGGAACAAACAGCGCCTCCCTAAACCCCCAACCCCCTAATTAGCCCCCTTCCCCTTCCAAAAGAAACCAAAACACCCTTCGGAAGACTCTTGGCAAGCAGCAACTAAGCCCTAAACCTTAAAGCCCCAAAACCCTAAAGCCCTAAAACTCTAAAACCCTAAACCCAAAATCCAAAACCCTAAGCCCTAAAGCCCTAAAGCCCTAAACCCCTAAACCCTCTATTATTAGGCACAACATCATCGAGGGGAACCTGGCGGTTCCGGACCCCAGATCTTCATGGCAGGTGGTTTTCCCTAAGTTAGGGTCCTTTAGGGTTTAGGGTCTCGGGCTTAGGGCTTTAGGGCTTTAGGGTTTTAGGGTTTTAGGGTTTAGGGTCTCGGGCTTAGGGCTTTAGGGCTTTAGGGTTTAGGGTTTTAGGGTTTTAGGGTTTGGGGTTTAGGGCTTTAGGGGTTTCGGGCGTAGGGGGTTTAGGGGGTTTAGGGCTTTAGGGCTTTAGGGCTCTAGGCCTTAGAACTTCAGGGTTTAGGGTTTAGGGTTATAGGGGAGAGGGTTCCAGTTCCTTTGAAGGAGATCAAAAAGGGCTTCTATCAGGCTTCGATAAGGGTACCATAAGGCCTCTCTTACGGGGGCGGGGCTCCTTTTTATGACGTCCTTTTGCTTTGATTGTGTTTTTGCGTTTTGCCGGGGAAGGGGAGGGGCGGGGAGGGGGAGTTTGTCTAGAAGGTTTGGTCCTACGTAAAGCCTAAATCCTAAACTCTAGGGTTTAGGGTTTAGGGTTTAGGGTTCCCTAAACCCTAAACTCTAAGCCCTAAGTTGTTGTGGGTGCATAGCATGCCCTTCTTTCTGAGCCTGCCATGACAGTAAGCAGGTATTCTGCGGAGCGGAGTTCAGAGGTCTTCCTGCGTCGCTGCTGTCGTTGGTTTAGGGTTTAGGGGTTTACGGTTTAGGGGTTTAGGGGTTTTGGGGTTTTGGGGTTTGGGGTTTTGGGGGTTTGGGGGTTTTGGGGGTTTAGGTTTCAGGGCTTAAGATGGCTACAACTGTTTATCGACAACTCTCGTCTGGTCTTGCCATGCCCAAGTTTTGCTGACTGCTCCGGATCATGGCCACCGTGCTCCAGTTGTCTTGCGATTTCGGCAGCCACGCGGCTGAATAGGTAAGCCTTAACTCGGTTGGGCATCAGTAAGCACAACGAAGAATCTGTCGTTTTCTGACCAACAAACGTATGAATTCAACAAACGAGCGCCAGAGGCTGGCACCCTAACGGCCATTGATAGCAAGCTGAAAGCCCTTATGCAGGGGCCTTAACCATTACCTATACTATTTTGGGGTTCCTTATTACAACCATTCCATAAGATGCCCCAAAACCCTATTCTAATTATCAAGGCCCTTATATTATACCCTTACAATGGCCCTTATGGTACGTGACCCTTTAAAGGAACACTTTCCAAGGGCCCTCGTCTTATTTTTTAGGCCCCGACATTATGCGTGGCTCCACTGAGGTCGGTGCAATCCCGCTCCTTTCGGGCATGTTGGAGAGCGATCAGGACCGCGGGCGAATTCGGGCCATGGTTTAGGGCTTAGGGTTTAGGGGTTTAGGGGTTTAGGACCCCGAAGCCCAGACCCTACGCCCCTAAACCCTGAACCCTAAACCCCTGACTCTACGCCCCTAAACCCTCAACCCCTAAACCCCTGTACCCTAAACCCTACGGGGTCCTCTGGTAGTAGGGGTAAACATGTGTGTGTATATATATATATGTATGTATATATATATATGTGTGTGTGTGTGTATACAGATAGATACAGCTTTATATAGTATATTCTAGTATGTTATCGTATTATAAGGTACCAGCTTGAGGCTTCGAGTCTCTGGCTTACGGCTTCGGGAGTCAGTTACGTACTCAGGAGATCTGGAGCCAGTGACTTGCCCTAAGGGTCC